TATTTTTAAGTTTATAAAAATCAGAATTGTATAAAATTAGAATTTTTGGTAAGTCAAATATTTAATAAAAATATTGAAAATAGAAAAAATAGAAGAATTTTTAGAATGAAATGATTGAAAATTTATATTTATATTCAGAATAAAATAATAGAAATCAATTGCTATAAGAAAGGGATTGCTAGAATAAAAAATTTGAAACATAGACGTCACAACTCCGCATGGAGGGGCAATGTCTCAATATTTACCACCCACCATCAACTATTTTATGCGAGTTCCATAAATAGCTTTAAACGTAGATGTTATAAATCTGTATGGAGCTGTAAAGTTGCTATTTATTGAAAATCCGCTAATATCACATTTTGATACTGCAGTTTCGGATAGTCAAAAATAATTTTTAACAAAAATTTCCCAGTTTTCAGTCGTTAAAATAGTTAAATGTTGAGCCATGTTGTAGCTGGGGTCCAGGCTGTGTAATCCACCCCTTGTGCATAGAAAGATAATGAAAAACGCTGTCGCACACCGCGTTCTCTCATGCATAAAAAAATATCTATGAAATATTTTATTACTTAATTTCTTATGCTACTTGAATCACATTTTAAGTACAAATACATGAGAGGAATGTAAATATGTGATGCATCATCATTGTTTTATTGCGTACTTTTTACAATTTGAATAAGTTTGTGTGATTAGACATGTAGTTTGTTTGTAATTGTTTTCTTTTTGTGGCATATAATAATTTTATTGTTTTAATGTTCGGGTGAGGAGGCACATAAATATTATTTTAAATGTTAATATAATGATATCAAACGACGTCTGTATGTCTGTAAGGACGGTCCGACATATTTATACACTGCTTGAAATGGATTATGAACACAGCTTTGCGAAAACACTGTCTTACTGGTTCGGAAGGGGGTTCTCTTGACGTATATCAGATTTCAATTTAACAAACTCTTTTGCTACTTCATCATTTGTGCGTTGCGAGAGGATGCGCAGAATCGTCCAACCAGTCTCGTCCATTTGAATCCGCTTGCCCAATGACAACCAACAGGCACACGAGCCCTGAAACGCCCACTTCAGCCACAACCAATCCCCACTCGCACTCACCTTCTCTACGATGTCCTTGAGCTGCATCACAGCCACGCCCACAAGCCGGTCTTCGCGGGCGAAACAGTAGTCCTTGACGCAAATATGCAACTCGAAGTAGTCCAACTGCTCCTCATTACCAATCGTACTAAACAAAAATCACCAAAATTCAAAACTAAAAACACTAAATACTCACAAATGAAACGTCTCGTTATACTTCGGCGACCAATTATTTGCTTTGGATTTCGTCGCGTGTTTCCGCTTCTTGTCGGAGAGGTGCGGACCAATCAGATTGACTTCGACGAAAGGTCGGAACATACCCGACACGACGTTCCATTTCAAGTCGTTGGCGGCTACCACTAGTTTTATATTAGGTTTTTTTACTCACAATTGAAGAAACTTACCTTTAACGGTGACTTTGTGCTCGCCAGTACCTGGATGGGTGAATAGATCGACTTGGATTGATACTTCGCCAACACTACCTTCTTGGCCATCTAATGTGTCTGAAATTTTTTTTTTTAAATTTGGATAAACAAAGACGATTTTGTGTCTAGTGTAGAAAAAATTATGTACAAAACTAAAATTGTGTTAAATTTAGTCAACCATGCTTGAAATTTGAAACAAAAGAAAGGACACATGCACTGGGAGCTAGGGAGTAAACTGTTGTTACATAATTGCGTAAACGTAACACCGTTAGTGTTACAACTGACTGGAAATGCGTAGGTAACTTTGTAAGTGTTACACACAAATTTACTAAGTAACTTCAATGTTACTGTGAAAAAGAGGCACAACATCACATATCGAGCAAACTGCAGACCGGTTTCGCCCTTGTTGGGGCTAATCAGTGCAGTGTAGCTCAATATGTGATGTGGCCTCGTGAGCCTTAAAGCGACTACGCCGGTGAAGATGAGACAGTAATAGCGCAGAGCGCCACCTGTCGCCCCGAAGGGCGCTTTGCTTTGCAAATTCCCAGCCCCCGGCGTGTGAAGGTCTAGATTCCCCACACACTTGACAGGTGGCGCTCTGCACTACCGCTGTCTCATCTTCAATGTTACTGTAAAAAATAATAATTGCAAAGATAACAAACTAACGTTTTGGTAATTTCTGAAAGTAACTTTACAAATTGCAAAGATAAACCTACATTTTGTTACTCAATTTCTAAAAGTTACTTTACAAAATCCTGTACGTTTTGTGTAACACTTACCTAAGCTTTAGGTGTTTTTCATCTGTGATTATTTGTTATTTGTGTAATGTTACGCTTACGTGTTGTTACACAAAATATATGTTACAAAAAACGTAACTTTTACCCGACAGTATTTATTGTTACTATCAACGATATCTCAATTTCAATAAAAATTTTGAAACATAAATGTTACAAGTCCGTATGGCTGGGCAATGTCTAAAGATTTGCCACCCACCATCAATTCTATATTTTATTTCTGTAACAATAAAAATTTTAAAACGTAGACATTACATAACTAAGTAAACGTAACACCTCTAGTGTTACAATTGACTAGAAATGTATAGCTGACTATTGTCTTACACTTCGTAAGAGTTACACACAAATTTACTATGTAAGTACAATGTAACTCTAAAAAATTATAATTGCAATAATAATGAACTTAATTTTGTTACTCAGTTTCTAAAAGGAACTTTTCGAAACGCTGTACGTTTTATGATTTTTTGTTATTTTTTGTGTAGTCTTACGCTTACATATTCTTATGCGAAATACACGTTACAAAAAAACGTAAATTTGACCCCAAAGTATATTGTTACGTAGGGTTACTTTAAAATGTTACTTCACAACTGATTGTATGTATGTAGAATTTGTGTTGTAAACGTTACAAGATGTAACAATTAGGTAACAACTTCGGGTTGTTTACTGTCCAATTTTCAGAAAAATAAAATAAAATACTATAACTCGTAATGTAACTAAACCGGTCATGCATGTGTAACTGAAATAACTCCTATTCATGCAATCGTGTAACTGTGTAACTTTGCACAAAATGTAAACTCGTAATTCCGCCGCTTCCTAATCTACCAGCTCATCTAAACCTTAAAACCACTATAAAGTGCGCATAGCAATTGCTGAATTTCATTTTTTTGTTAATTCTGACATTCCGTTCTACCTTGTCGACTCTCTCTTCGTTTTTTAGCCTTCAAAGGTTCTTCTAACGCTTCAAGTCCAGTCTCGGTCTCGTCACGCTCGATCGAAATTTGCCGTTGAAGCATTGTTTCTTTATTGTTAAGCGGCACTTTGAAAGATTACACACATAAATACAAGTGTCAAGTGTGTACAAACCTTTTTTTTTTCTAAAAAAAAAAAATAAACCAACTCACCTTCGTTTATTTGCGTCGTGACGAAAGTCTTGATAAGAGTATCAGTCGTTTGCGTATAGAGAGATAAGGCGTAACGCAAACTTTGCAATTCGGGACTTTTGTCCAAAAAGGCCTTTTTAAGGCCATTCCCGCCCGCGTGGAAGTACTGTTTGATGGTGTCTAAGGCTACGTCCAAAACTGCGCATTGTTTGGGCGAAAGGTTCTTCTCCACTTCCTTTGATATGTCCATGACGCCACTCAGGGCGTTCTTCACGTCCTGTTTCCCGGCCATGTGGTTCTTAAAGAGTGTCGACATGTCTTCAATCTTCGTTTTCGCAGCCAAGTTCTTCGCATTGTCGGTCAAACTCTTGAACATCATCTGAAACCAAGCCAAGTAGTTGGTATTCTAGTCCAGACTTCTTCACAAACCGTTTTGTCCGTCATGGGGGGCAAAACCACAGTCTTCTCGAGGATCCTCATGACGATCTTCCACAACTCTTTGAGGAGTCTCTTGAGAACAGTCTTCTCGCACGATTGAGCATAGAGGGAGAGCGAGCCGTCGAGGAGGTCCATGAGAGGTCGCAAGACTTCGTCCGCTTCTGACGCGACGACGTTCCTCTGAGCCGGTTGAGTAGTTCCAGGTTGACCTCCTCCTTTAATACTCAAAAGGAGGTCTCCTAGTTCCTTCACACTCACGGTAATTCGAGGTTCAAGGCTAAAACATGACAAAATCAATGTGTTGTTGTTGTCTTCAAAGAAAAATCTCGCACCTTAAGGCAAATTGAGTGGCTAGTTCGTCCAAACACCCATTCAAGGTTTGTTGCAAGTCTTTGAGGATGTTCGCAGCGTCCTCTTCCAACTTTTCGCCCCCCATGGACTCAAACATCTTCTCTAATTGTACCCGTAATTGTTGAATATTGTTCATAAGAATGCAAGCCTGCAAAAATTATTATTTCAAGTGTTTTTTGTGTTTTTTCCTTACAATTCGTTCTTCTTTGACGTGTTCTGGAAACTCTCCTTTGACAATATCGGCGTACGCGATAAGGACTTTGACTATGGTTTTGGCAAAGCGTTTCATATAACGTTTCCAGATTTCTGGATCTGGACACTCTAGTTTGGACACGACATCAAAACATTGAGTCAATTGGGTGAAAACGTCGACGACAGAGTTGGAAAAGAGAGCATGTTCGCTGCTTCTTTGGAACTACAATAAAGGGTAATTATGTTTTTAAGGACAAGTTTAGGGCTTACGCCATCCTTTTTGTCTCTATTGAAGGCACCGTGAAGGTATTCGAGGGAAACATCGTCGTTCTCATTTAACCACTGCATGACGAACGGCTCGAACCATGCAGGATATTCAGGCACTGCACCTGAAAAAGTAAAAAAAATATATAAAAAATCTGGTGTAAACACCCCACGACTTTCCTTATCCTATTTATTTGGAAAATATCCTAACGACAAATTCATATTGTACCTAACTACACTTTTTTAACCATTTGCGACCGATTTTTACCAAATGTTTTGTGCTGCGTCGACTTCCTATACCAAATTTATAGTCCTCATAGGATAAGAAAAGTAAAAATGGGTAAAAACACCTCATTACCTTTGTAGGGAGGCACATCTTTGACATAATTGGAATACAGCCACTTGACCTTGAAATGCAGGTTCATATAAGCCGAGCTTTTGCACAGTCGATGCTGTTCGTGCTCTTCAAGGGCATATTTCATATCGACGGCAAACAAACTCCACATGGTCGCCGCCGACAGTTGCCCTATATTCAGCTCCTGTGGGAACTGGTTCAAAACCGGACCATAACTGTTCTTATCTTCCTCGATAACGGAAACAATGAGAGCGATTAACTTGTGCCAGAAATCGACACTGTCGAGTCTAGGTCCGTGGTCTTCGGGGTCGCGTTTGGGTTCGTTGGGATCACTCTGAAATTCGCGATTGTATAATTCGTAGGTGTTTTCGAAGAGAAATTGATATGTGGAGCGAAGACAAGCCTTGACGCAGTCTTTGACGACGGTGCTGGCGCGAGGCGGACATGTCAACTCCTGGACTTTCATCCGGAAGAAGGTGATGCTGGTGAGGAGGTCAACGGTCGATTTCAAGTCCATTAATTTGTCGGGACTTGAAGCCGGGAAGTTGTTGCGGTACATGGATAAGTCGATGCGGAGAGAGTTGTGGAGTTGGTCGAGGAGTTTCACGAATTTCTCTTTCTGGAAGAGTAAAACTCACATTTTGACTGATATCCATAAACCACTAGTCGTAGAAAAAATATAAACACAGATTCGAAATCTTTGAGAAATTCTGCATAAGACGCAATACAATTTGGGGTAAAAAATTAAAAACTTACTTCAAAGTTAGAGGCGGCAAAACGATTACACACTTCAAATCCAAATTTTTACTGATATCTCGAAAAGTCTTACCTTAAGAAAAAAAATAAAGACAGATTTGGAATTTGTAGATAATTGTAAGTCAGAAAACTTGCGTTTAGTTCAGTTATTTATTTACTTTGCTACAAAAAAAAAATACGTTTGTCTTAGTTCATTCATGTTTTGACCCTAACAAACAAAACTTTGCCCGATATCTCAAAAACCACTAGTCGTAGAAAAGAAATAAAAATAGATCCAAAATCTTTAAGGAATTTTGCATAAGATACAATATAAATTAAAGAAAAAATTTAAAACTTACTCCAAAGTTGGAGGCGGCAAAAGGATTACACACTTCAAATTTGAATTTTCACTGGTATCTCAAAAGTTTTAACTTAAAGGAAAAAATAAAAACGATTTGGAATTCTTAGAAACTGTAAGTCAGAAAACTTACATTTAGTTCCGGTCTTTGTTTGCTTTGCCACAAAAATTATCCGTTTCTCTCAGTTCATTCATGTTTTGACCCTAACAAACAAAACTTTGCCCGATATCTCAAAAACCACTAGTCGTAGAAAAGAAATAAAAATAGATTCAAAATCTTTAAGGAATTTTGCATAAGATACAACATAAATTAAAGAAAAAATTTAAAACTTACTCCAAAGTTGGAGGCGGCAAAAGGATTACACACTTCAAATTTGAATTTTCACTGGTATCTCAAAAAGTTTTAACTTAAAGGAAAAAATAAAAACGATTTGGAATTCTTAGAAACTGTAAGTCAGAAAACTTACATTTAGTTCCGGTCTTTGTTTGCTTGGCACAAAAATTATCCGTTTCTCTTAGTTCATTCATGTTTTGACCCTAACGAACTAAACTTTGCCCGATATCTTATAAACCACTAAGCGTAGAAAAAAATTAAAATAAATTCAAAATCCTTGAAAAATTCTGCATAAGAAGCGATACAATTTGGGGTAAAAAAAATAAAAATGTACCCCAAAGTTGGAGGCGGCAAAACTCTTACACACTTCAAATTTGAATTTTCACTGGTAACATAAAAAGTCTTAGCTTAAAAGAAAAAATAAAAACAGATTTAGAATTCTTAGATAATTTTACGTCAGAAAACTAGCATTTAGTTCAGTTGTTTACTTTGTCACAAAAATTATTCGTTTCTCTTAGTTCACTCATGTTTTGACCCTAACGAACCAAACTTTGTCCGATATCTCATAAACCACTAGTCGTAGAAAAGAGATAAAAACAGATTCAAAATCCTTGAAAATTTCTACATTAAAGGCGATATAATTTGGAGATAAAAAACTTAAATCAAACTCCAAAGTTAGAGGCGGCAAAGCGATTACACACTTAAAATTTAAATTTTCACTGATATCTCAAAAACTCTTAGTTTAAGAAAAAAATTAAGGCAGATTCAAAATCCTTGGTTAATTTTACGTCAGAAAAGCTACATTTAGTTCAGTTTTTGTTTAATTTGCCACAAAAATTATGCAAATCCCTTAGTTCATTCATGTTTTGACCCCAACGATCTAAACTTTGCCCGATATCTGAAAAACTATTTGTCGCAGAAAAGAAACAAGAACTGATTCAAAATCTTTGAAAAATTCCGTATAAGACGCGATATAACTTAAAATAAAAAAATTAAAATCAAACTCCAAATTTGGAGGCGGCAAAGTGATTACACACTTAAGATTTTAATTTTCACTGATATCTCCCAAAGTCTCTGCTTAAGGAAAAAAATAAAAACAGATTTAGAATCCTTGGATAATTTTACGTCAGAAAACTTGTATTTTGTTTACTTTGCCACAAAAATTATGCTCTCCTGAAAGTTCATTCATGTTTTGATCCCAACAACTTAAACTTTTACATATATCTTAAAAACTATTGGAAAAAGTAAAAGAAGATTTAAATTCCTTGAACAATTTTACATAAGATGCAGTAAAATTTAGGGAAAACAATTATAAACTCACCCCAAAGTTGGAGGCGGCAAAGCGATCGCTCGCCGAAACGGCCGACGAGGCTGTCGTGTGTGCGTAGTAGGCGTTGATATTGGCCAGAAGCATGCTCATGACGGCGGGAACCCCCGGACATAGATACTTGGTTGACAGGCAGTGGAAATGCCTAAAAACCCACCCTCAAAACCCCTCAAACAACCTCAAAAGTACTCACGTCATGGCTTGATATATGGACTCGATCCCATACCGCATCGCAAACTCATCGACAATTTCCTCTCCCGCCTCCTCGAAGTACACTTTCCAGGCATCATCCCCCTTGGCTTGGGGTAAACTCACAACCCCACTGTTTTGCTCACACAAATAATGAAACAAGTTTTCGTGAAGGCAAGTGTATTGAACGTGATATGGGGCGACTTTTTCCTCGCCTTTGATTTCGACCGATATGTGTAGTCGGATGGCACCGGAAACAGCGGATTTGTCGGTACGTTTCTCCAGGTTGTACCACACGTCCATCTCTCCGGACAAAGTCCGGACTTCGATGATGGTTTGTCCGAGGAAATCGTCCGATTCCCTTGTGAGTTTCTGTCGGAGTTTACTCTTGAGGTCATTATCCTCGTCCCAAACCCGGACTTTGATCCTGTCGGACGAATTATGACACTCGCTACAAAATCTCATTGAGTACAAATGAGGCCTCGCTTTGTACCCACGTACAAGTAGAACTTCTCGTCCCACACCGGATTGAGTTCCTGCGGCATGGTCCTTGTGCGTTTTTTCACCTTGCCGACTTGTACGGTGACGTAGGGGTCGGACGTGCCACTTTTGTCCTTGGCGATAAGGCCTTGTGCGGATTTGACTGCAAGTCGAGGCCAAACTAAGTCCAATGCAAGCAGGAGAAAAGCATGCAAGCTGCAAAGCAGTGTCTAGTGCGGGTCTAACCACTAATTACCCTCACGGTTCGGTTCGGTTCGCTCGGACGTGTCGTGTGGTGTTGTTAGTGTCGTGATGAATGTTTAAGATCAACAAGTAAGCGGGAGAGTTCAATTCAAGTGCATCATTCATTTCAAAAACTGTTTTTAGCTGTAAGTCGGTCTCAGGCAGGTCTGTAGCTACATTCTATGGACAAGCGGCTTGAGAAAAAAACGGTTACACACACAAACAAGCCAAGTACACAAGCCCCCTGTGATCGAATCCAATCGAGGGGAGATTTTATCGAAGAGTCATGCCGAGAGACATACTAAGAGTCGGAAGAGAAGACAGAAAGAGGTCTCGAGAGAAGGCTCAGAGTCTCAGAGTTCAAAGCGGGGCACAAACTGGTTTTTACCGTCAATATTATTATTACTATCCCACGTAGCTTTGATATGATGTAAATGATCAATAAATGCAATACATACCCTTGAAATTTTTTAAATTTCCTTCAAGATTTGTGAAAAGAGGAGTATTTTAATAACAATTTTCGTAATTTCTTGGTTTAGATGTGGTACCTTAAAAGCTGGTGCCTAAAAGGTTAAAATGGGGCGTGTCGTGTGCTAAATTTGAGTTTCTTTTTGCTTGAGAAAACGTGCAAGAAGGTGTCTGAACCCCGTTCAAACTAAAACCGAGCCTGATAAGACATTCCAGAGTGCAAAAAAGTGAAGAACTTGATCAGTTGTAGAGAGAGAGAGAGCAATATCTGTACTTTAGCGTGTTCAGTATGCTCTGCGTCCCGATAGAATGCAGCTGTCAATACCTGTGATTGCAATCTTGCATGACCACTTGGATGTGCCTTCAATAGTCATTTGCTCCGCTTGCTCGATTGAATCAATGTGTGTGTCTGGATCCACTGAAAATGTTGTTCTGGCCGGAACCGGAAACAAGAACACCGATACAACAAAAAATGAGCACCACAGTGAGGTATCTCGGTTTTTCGTCACCATTTTCCACCAAACTGGCTATCTATCCACACAACTTTTCTAAGTGTGAGAAATACCCAATTAGATGAAAGGGTAACAAGCAGTCGGTTTTGCGAAAGCAGACATTTAGCATTCAAGTGGCAATGAGACAAGTGACTTGTCTCAATGTCGGGTTAGAAGACAACAACCGCCCCCACAAACCTGTGATGGCTATCTTTGCTGACCACTTGGAGGTACCATCTAATACGGATTGTTTGACGGCTTTCATATGACCAGCGTGACTCTTGTCTTCCACGCCGAAAACGGCCCTGTTTATACAACACAAAAGATAAAAGAGAGTAGAGAAAAGAGAGGAAATAAAGCCCCGGTCTGGAAAAAACTGGTTTTACAAAGCGAGACCTACTGGACGAGCTTCTATGGAGGGGCAATGACTCAAAATTTTATTTAGTCGAATAAATCTCGCTCTGAATTTTCTTTTGTGCTCCACGCTGTCGATCTCACTCTCATTTTACCTGATAAGTTCGAAGATTTCAGGCTTCTCTCGTTCCCTTTGCTTCATTCGTTCTTTCATTGCTGTTATAATACTGTTGGCTTTATCTTCGGCTCCATGTTTCGAACTTTTCTCAGCGGCTCCTAGAAACAGCCACGATTTGAACAATTTTAATCGATTCACAACTGCCTTTACATTTAGTAATCCTAATCAAAGAAAAATAATCGCGTAAAATAAGAGAAAAACCACAAAGACTGCAAAAAGACACTCACTTTGTAAACAATCGGCGTTGAGGAGATCCTTGCACTTCTCGTGACACTTCACCGAACACTCGGTGCACCTCACCCCTTGACGGGCGATGCCCCACAACAGCCCCTCGCACTCGTAGCAGTAGGTGGGGGAGGTGGCCGTCCACGGGACGAAGTTGTGGGGGGTGGTGCTGCTGATAGGGTAGATCAACGCCTGCAGCGTCTTCTTGTAAACGTGCATTTTCTAAAAAATAATGGCCAGTCTAATTTTTTTAAATCTTAAAGCTTAATTTGCTTGGGCAAACAAGCCGGCAAAAACGCCGCAATACCAATATTTGCACTCTTCTAGAGAAACCTATACCAACAAATTAATTAAATCCAAACAAAACCACTTGAAGCAACAATGCAGCGTTTTCGGTCAATAAAACTCGTCGTGTCTTTTATAGAGACATAAATTCGCTCCTGAGAAAGCTTCCGGACAATAACAAGCCGCTATATATTATTTTGTATAAGAAAAATTCTTAATGGTTCATAACTGAGTCATAAATTTTAATACAACTTACCAGTTCTTCATCGTTGAGAGTTGCTCGGGGTACTGCTGACGTCAAACCGGCGTTTCTTTTCGTTGCAGCCATTGTCTACAATCAAATTAATTAGAAAGTTGATCATAAACAATAACACTAACTAGAGCAATGGCTAAAATGTGACAATACTATTACCTGTTTTGTTGTTTGAGTTAAAAAGCGGCATGCAAATCGTGCTGAGGAGAGATCAAAATGTTAGAAAAGACAACGAATTTTTCACAATTTGAGATATTAACTCCAGAATTTCAAATCTCTTGTTGTTTTTTGTCTACGACCAAAAGGTTTTAAGATATTGATGTAAATCTAGCCCGGGATGTTAACAATTCTTATGGAGGAGCAATGTCACATCTTCCTCCGAAAAGTTACTGTTAATCTGTTCTTGTTTTTGTCCACGATCAATATTTTTTGATATTGATATTAATCTCGCCTGCGACGTTAAAAATTCTTATAGAGGGACAATGTCTCAACATCTTCCTCCTGAAAGTTACTGTTAATCTGTTTTTGTTTTTTGTTTACAATCAATATTTTTTGAAATATTGATGTCAATCTCATCTGCGATGTTAACAACTCTTATGGAGGGGCAATGTCTCAACATCTTAAAAGTTACTGTTTCTCGGTGAAAAATTCGTTTGGTCCGTTGTTTGACAAGCATCTACGTGCATTACTAAAACGGAAGGAAGAGACCAGTACCTTGAGCACCTGGAGAAGTGAAGCGGCGCAGGACACACCATTAAACAGAGAACAAACAACATAGACACGTTAGTAATGGTTCTAGGAGAGAGTTTACACAATACACTCAACATTAATAAGAAGGGAAGGTCAGAGGAGTTCCTGGAGCGCACATATGTAAAGTTTCTCGCACAAAAACAGATACAAAGGGATGGAGGGATACAATACAACATTCATTGTTGCAACAGGTATGTATGAACAACGGATATCGGGAATGATAACGTCAAAAGGAAAATTTTTTCTTTATCTTGAACTAATTTTAAGACAAATGGATGATTTTGATGAAGCGAAATCGTATCAGAGAGTGTTTACAAGCCGGGCTGTAAACATGGGGGTAATTGAGTGGTGCAGATGTACGGAATGCGAGAAACTAAGCAATATCGTATTGACTTGTATTACAAGTAAACAAAAGCAGGATGGTAATACTGTAATTCGTTTCTAGAAGCAATGATCGAAAACTTTTGTGTATTTCCCCATTCTTTTATGAATTACCCTCGCATTCCGACACGATTTCGCATTATTAGAAGAAAATTGATCAACTCATTACCAAGTCGGAAACCAATGGTATGGACTTCCGTCGTGGCCGGATATCCGGCATACTGTCGATGTTGCTGTAGAAGGGATTATCTCCTGGATGTCTGTTAATGAAAAACAGTTCAATTAAATGGCTTCGAAGCCCGACAAGTGCCACAATCGAGTGACCTTTATTTGTAATCAGAAAAAAACGACTTACCCATTTGTTCTTCCGGCCGAATCGCCCCCAAGTCCAGAGCCGTTCTAAAAAAAAAACAAAAAGTAACATAAATAGTGAATCAACACAATCCCCCAGAGGGGTAACAGAGTTTATTTGTAATAACAAACAACAAATCTTAGCACAATGTCTTGTAATGTAAAGCTTTTTTCCCTAATTAAGCCACGGAGAGCTACAATAGGCTATCTCTGTAACACACGTATTCTCCGTGATTGTATAATACTGCTAACATCGATCTAGGTTACTGTTCCGCTACTGTCTTTACCGAGATTGTCATTATGACCAGTCTAGAGGTACTAAAGTAGGAAACTTAGCGCTTTATACTATCAAGTTTGGTCGATATTTACAGGTGAAAAGAGGTGATAGTTTAGAATCGTCACGCTGGTTTGAGAAAAGTCGTAGTTTATTGTCGTCTAAAACTCTCAATGATAGTATAAACACTTCATAATGTCAATCTCTGATGATAATTACATTGATATGAGGTGCGATATGACATGAAAACACAAATTCCTGGATTCGAAATTGACTTGGGTGACCTAAAAGCCGGTTACAATAAGGCAAAGCTTACAACTAAGCTAGGTTTTAACATGGATTTCGTAGAATTTCTGCACCATCCCCAACATACTCACTTTATCTTTCTCGTTTGTTGGTTCGACTTTGTCTTGGTTGTTTTTTTCTTCAGCTTTGCGTTCTTTTAACGCTTTTAGCAGTTTCCATTTACTAGCGACACTTTCTTTAGTTTCGGGTTTGGCTTCTGGTTCGATTTGGATCTGCGGAACGGCTGTCGCTTCTTCTTCTTCTGGTTCTTCGCGAGGGGCGACGTGGCAACGGGCGAATTCTTCAGTGTTTTCTTCCTCGTTCTCGCTTAACTGGGGGGAATCAGGACCGGAGGTTTCACCCGAGGAGTGTTCTTCGTCTTTGGCCGGCTCGGGTGGCTTTTCTTCAATTTGGACTTCTTCTACTTCTTCCTCTCCTTCTTCTTTAATGTTTTGGGTGATTTTGTCGAAAAGCATGTGGGCTTCTTCCAAATGAATTGATTTTCGGTCTCTTTCACGGTTTTTCGCCGATTGGAGGGTGTGAAGGTTGTTTTCTCCTTCCTCAAACACCCCCTCGACCACTTTTGCTTTCATCCTCAACTCCCTTAAAACGAACGACATTTTCTCTTTAACTTCTTCATAAGGTTCAAATTCTTCCTCCAGTTCGGGTTCTTCCTTTAAGGTTTCCCCCATTTCGGCTTCGAGTTGTGACTGTCGTTCCATCTCCTCCAATTTCCTCAATTCGTAGCAGTACCACTCGTCTTCACTATCGATACTATCTTCGGTACTTTGCCGTCTTGAAGACACACGAGAGGTACTCCTCCACGAGTGGGTACTGCGACTATCATCATCCTCTTTATGTCCCGGAATTTCAAGACTTTGCTGGTGTTTGGGCAAGTACCGGTTTTGAGTCCTCAAAATCGGTTCACAGTGACTAACTTCACTCACTTGACTTTCGGTACTGACTTGCTCGATCAATTTCTCGGGTTTTAGTGGTTCCTCATCTACAATTTCCTCAATTACGACTCCTTGTTCCTCAAAAGACATGTCATCGGATAGGGAAGTTTGTTTCTGTTGTCGGTACTTCCCCAAAGCTCGTGAAACAGCAAACTCCATCGAGGCTCCTCCAACCACGACCACCATCTTGCTATCGGTTATAACCGTCTCGTCGCTCTTTTCCGACTCGGAACTCTTCTTGGTCTCACCAACAGTAGGAAAAATACTACTCGAGCCGCTCCCGGTACTTTTGCCCGAAATTTCCTCCTCGGCTAACGCCTCGTTAGTTTGTGGTGACACTTTGATCGGTTCAAATTGCGGTTGAAGCTCATCTTGTTGACTGTTTTTCCTCGGCTTCGCCTTGGCTACTTTTGCAAAAAGGTCTCGCTCGGCTTGACCCTCAAACATGCTATAGCTGTCCTCACTTCGGTCATCTTCCGAGACTATGGAACTAGCCCGTTGTAGTACCCACTCGTTTTCTGACTGTTCTGGGTCGGAAAGTGATTGTGTGTTGTGGTGAAAGTAACTTTTCCGCTTGGCTTTTTGCAAAATCCCAGAAACCGTTGATACAATCGCGTTTTTCTTCTTTTTCCGCCCGCCGACATTACTTTTATGTGTCGGTTTGGGCTTTTCGAAGTCTTCGCGACGCACACCGGACGGTAAGGAGTACGACCGGTGCCGTTTGGTTAAATGCAAGTCCGGTAACCAGTGACTTACCGAACTCATAGCGGATTTGAGAGTGTTACCTCGTTTGAACTTCTTTTTTTCGTCGCGAGACGTATCGATTGTTTCAGAATTGATGGTAATGTAGCCCGACTGGGTTATTATTACCGAACTAGGGTCGAAAAACTTATTATCGTTTTGTTGAACAACATATTCCGGTACGTTTCGGTTCCGTAAGTCGAGTTCCAAGTAGGGAATTTCTTGTCGTTGGTTCCAGCGATCGATTTGGGCTTGGTTCTCGTAGATTGGGTTCCGAGGCCGTCTTTGATCTAAGTAGGGGCTTTGGTTGTACTCGGCTGGTTCCGTGGAGCGCATGGAACTACTCGGACTTGCGCTCTCTTGGACCTCTTGAGAACAGTTAAGCCAGGCTGCTGGATCGTTAAATTCGTCGTAGCGGGTGGAGGTCGGGTAGTACGAAAGAGCATCTGTGATGTTACCACTGGGGAACATGGTTCGGTGCATTGCCGTTTTGTACCCTTCATGGTTGGCGACTCCGTCCCCGTTACTAGTGGAGTACATCCTCGAAAGTGACCTTCTGCGGTCGGTGGTACCTGAGCTCGTTCGTTGCAGTTCGTTGTTTTCGTAAGGCTCGACCAAATCCGGGTAATTGATAGTTTGAGTGATATAATCGGCACTGTTGCTGGTATATACAGACGTGTAGGTCTCTCGATTGCTCCCAGCGACGGAGTAAATTGCCGGTTGGTCGTTCCAAGTGAACGAATTCGTTTTGGTGTGCTTTTTTTTTCGAGGACTGACGTTAATATCCGAGGCGGGGGCCGGGGCTGGGACAAAAGTACCATACCCCTCGCTGGTTTCAAGATTACAGGGCGACTTAACAGTTGTGAAAGCCGACAAGTGGTGTCCACCAGGCAAAATCGTGTTTTCGTGGTGGTACCCTTTGCCGATTTTTGGACTTCCTGGTGATTTCTCCAAACTCGACCATCCACTCAACGAGGAGAGCCCTGAATCGGACTTGACGACATTTTTCCGTTTGGGCGAGCTTTTGGGTGATTTAATTGACGGTTGTGGTACCGGCTCGGTGCCTAGGAAGACTGGATTGGGGTCGGGGATGGGGTCCAGCGGTGCCGGTGGGGGCGGACTCGGTGACCCTTTTTGTACTTGGTCGTTCGTTGCGATGTACCCGTCTTGACGGGTCCGGATTGATAGCGACGGCGAAGGGGCGGTTTCCGCCCTCGCGTTGAAGATACTAGGGGTGGAGCAGGGGATGGTTTCGTAGGAGGCTGCGACTAGACTACTATAAAAGGGGTTCTTGGAGTCAATGTTTTGCACGGCGGCGCTGTAGGCGAGCCGACCGGTGACGGTAGTAAACGGGGCGGTGCAGGATGTGACTCGACGGGGGGATGTAGGGGTACCACCACGGAGACCCCCGGCGAGGACTTCAGCAACTTCATTGTCAGTACCTATGACACTATCAGTGACGGACAGTCTTGAGCTGGGACGAGGAGGGGGGAAAGGAAGTTCAGATTTAAGGATCATGAGGTCGTCTTGGTTCGAATTAGAGAAACTCCAGTTTGGATCGTCTTTGGGTTCGTCATCTTGGGTTATAGAAAGAGGGGATTCTAGGAGTTTTCTCTGAAGTTGCTTGATATTATCCGAGTCTTGTTGGAGTTTACTACTGAGTCGGTCTAATTCGTTTAGTTTTTCGATCGCGACGTGGTCTATAGAATCTATACGGGACAATTGAGCTATATCTTGTTCACTAACACACGGGGAGTTCCCTCGATAGTCTTTATAATCTAACGCACTGAAAACTTCCTCACCCTCAACCAAACATTCGTTTTTCTTTTCGTTGTTCTCTTCGGTTTCTTCTCTTTCTTCCCAAATCATCCCTAATTGTGACCCTTGACCCGCCCCCACCAAATCCTCGCGATATGCCTGGTTCAAACTCCTGTAAAACGCCTCATCAGGCACATGCATTTCATCCAAATCCAATTCTTGTGTTCTTGACACATCCTGTCCCTCCTCCAATCCATCCTCGACAGTCCCATTCCCCAGAATCTCCCTAATCACTTCTAATTCCCCTGCTGTCGCCCCCGCCCCCATATTCCTACACCCCGTCCCTCCCGTGGTATAAAAATCCAACAATTGGGAAATAACACTTTGTTGCTCATACAACAACCCCTCCAACTTCTCCAATCTCTCCCACATTTTGATATACTCCTGCGATAGCAAATCAAGGGCACGCCAGGCGTACTTCAGCTCCGTTTCAAGGATGTTAAGTCTGGTGCCTAGCCTTTCCATGTATTCAGTGATGACATAATCGACATTGGCGTCGTAATTGACGGGCGCCATAGTGCCGTCGGTCATCCGGTGCATGTTTTCGCTCATTTTTCCAACAGAAACACTACATTTTAGTCTTTTTTCGCGACATTGTGCGGTTTGGCGTGCTCGCGAACATCACGAGACACTAATAACACTAAAGTCATTGGTTCGTCCGTGTGGAAGGCATCGTTCAACATCTGAAAAATAATTAAAATGCGATTTTCTCGATTTTTGTGATTTTTTGGGGAAGTTTAGTTGCATGTGAGGTTTGGTTTTAAGATGAATAATAAAAAGACAACTCATCCACCGGATGTCAGAAAATGATAGCTACCTTTCGTTTCAAATGGGATATTAAAAATTCACTCAGACCTGACGCTATCTGTCGATTTCCGCTCCCATTTGCGTTTAGATGGCACCACTCATCTCAACACACGATCGATAACTTACTTATAAGGTATATAAATTACGGTCAAGAACAGCCAAAAAGTTGCTAAAATAATTGAATATTCATGTAATGTAGCAGAAACTATACATGAACTATCGACAGTCAGGTTAAATGTCAAAATCTGCCCAAGATTTAGCTAATCTATTTCCCTTTTATGTACGTACAAGTGGCGTAAGCAATCAATAAAAAGCCATGACAGGTAATTATGATATTGTATGAACAACGTAACTATTGACAATAACTATTGTCAGTAAAAAGTTATATTACTCAAAACAAAAGCATTGTACATTTTTGATACAGTGTAGAAAGTTTTTAATAATTAAGATTAAAAAAGGAAGACGATAGTTAAGTTTTTAGCTTAGTTTTAAGCTAGTTTTGATCTTTACTTCTTAAACTATTATAATTGACAATAATTTAAATAAAAATAAACGTGTTATTGTACTTTCATTGTGCACAATTATTGTTCGTAAGTTATGACAATATCGAGTGGCTATCTAGCTATTGACTTTTGTAGACATTAACTAATATTCACTGCATAATTTTTGTCGTTGCTCCCAGTAATAGTGATTTTAACTATTGACAATAACTATTAAAAAACCTAGTCATAACTTAACTATCGAAAATTCTTGATAATAACCATTGACAATTAATAATCAAGACAATAATTAGCTTTTACTTTAGTTGAAAAATTTAGTTTTTATTTTTGATTTTTTTGAACTTAGTCTATTGGCGTTAATTCGAGAAAAATGCGCTCTTTTATGTAAGACTTATTATTATAGTACTCTAGTCAAAAAAACTGTTTGTAAGTTATGACAATATCCATTGACTTTAACTATTCTTAACTATTATAAACGTTAACTACTATTTGCTATAGTTTCATACCGTTGCTGATGACAACAGTAGGAATTTTAACTGTTTCTAGTAACTATTGGCAATCAGTTATCAAAACTACAGCTAACTTTTTAGTTTAATAGAAAAAAATAGTTTTAACTTAGGATTTTTAACACTTTAGCTATTGACAATAACGAAAAGTCGAAGCAATTGTTAATTTTTAAGTTTAGCAGAAGAGTTAAGTTAGAAATTACTATAGTTTTAAACACCGCCTCCTTAATGAAATGTATCAACATCCCGCCTGGGCATTTCGTAAAAAATGCATTGGAGCAGTGATTCCGATTTTTTCTTAGTTACGGGGGTTACTAAGGAAAAACTGAATGAGTTTTAATTATTAACGAAAAATAACACAATTAATAAAAGCTGGGAAGAAAGGCTACAACAAAACAAGATACGCCAGGGAGAATTAATATTATGTGGTTGAACCCTTTAAGTTAAAAAACTGGATGCGTCAAAAAATTTCCCCAGATTAAAGCGCCAACGGGAATCAGTTGAACTCAAAAAATGCTCAGGCGAGAAAAGGATTATTTCTATAGAGACGGCGATGGTTATAAATATAACTATTGACAATAATTTTAACTATCGGTTTAATCCTTAGTTTATATCGATAGCTGCGTTGGTTTATCAAGGTGTATCAAGGAATTTTGTTGTAATAACTTAGACAAAAGTTACTTATTGTTAATTATGGATTTTTTCACTAATCGCCACCCCTCGATCGATACCATTTTTATCAACATAAATCCCGCTGTTTAAAAGTTGAAATAAACTCGACAAACATTTAAATATTCATAATGTAACAAGCGCTAGGAAATTGCACCGTATTCATGCAAACTTGCACTAAATAAAATTAATTTTGCTGCATGAGGAGGTCGATTCTCCAATAGGAAACCGTTGAATTTTTTGTGTATAAATCCGGGGATTTCCCTTGAGGGTTTTCCGTATTGTGAGCATCACTAAAGGCAAGTTTCGAAATCGGAAGTATGATTAATTCACCTGTTGATTAATATCGACTCGAAGATCGATCAATTATGGAAAAAGCCACGACTGAATGAAATATTGATTGACCGGTCAATGTGACCCCTGCAGGTGTGGATCTTCAACAAAGTTTGAAGTTTTCTGGTTCAAGAGTGGTGATTGATGATTGGATTCTGTCAAACTAAACACGCATTTTATCAGTGGTTATACAATCCCGGGATGACAAATAGAGTTAGGGGTGGTTTTGAACGCGTTAACTAGGCTAATTAGTGTGCACGTCCGGTATTGATTTTATTGAAATACAATTACAATCGATTTGTTGCATCTTGAGTTGCTCAAAACACGAGAAATCAATTAAATTCTTAGCTAAATTAAGTGAGAAAAAACAAATAAAATTTTTGTTAGGGTTTAATGAACTGTCGCATAGTCAAACTTAGCGTGGGCTTTGTGTAAGCACATTTACACTCATATATAATTCATAATCTAATTATCGACCGAAACAAGACGGCAATTCCGGGACTAAAATCACGAAACCTACCTACTACACCCTCAAGGCGTCACAAACCCTAAAAAATCAACAATTAGTTGGTGAAATCAATCAAAATTTGAGAAAACAAAAGGTCAACCGTGTTAAAACACTTAACAAGGAAGACCAGTCAGCTTCACGGTTCGTACAGATCTCACATGGACATCCAAAGTAGACTTTGGCCAGAGGTGAGAGGATAGAAATCCACCGTTACACTGAAACTCCCATTTCAGCTTTCAGAAAGTGAAAAAAATTGAAAGCAAATGCCAAAACTTGTTACAGGAGAGTGATTTAGGTATTGTGAATGCTTCATAATGGTCTGATCAATGTGCATTGGAGTGGAATCACGATTGATTAATTTGAACATCAAATCTGGGCTGAAGTTTGGCCTCGAGACGGGATTTAAATGTGGAACAAGCTCGCTTTCGACGAGGTACAAGCTTAGGAGACATGGAAATATAATCACCTGGGGTTTCTTTCAAGTTTTCAATAAAAAAAAACTGAAAAACTTGGTTTAATTTTCTTGAGATATTATTAATTTTGTGGTTGGGCAATGCCAGAATAACTCCCTTTTTTTAAATATAAACAATTGTTTCTTTGTACTTCTAGAGGCCTTAAATACTCAAAAAAGTAGAACAATGTTTAGCAAAATAACATTTTCTGGACAAATTTACAAAAACACTAAAAATTAGAGCGTAATATCATCCGGCAAGTGTAAATTTGAAACACGCAATGTTTAAACATTACATAAGCTTGGCAAAGGTGCATTTAGAAACAATTTTATCCAAAAATTAAGTTCTGTATCAATTTTAATTTTTTTAAGTAAGAATTACAGCATTGCCCCGCCATAGAAATTAGTAATGACAAACTATATTTTTTTATTTTTCTATGAAAATCAAACGGGCCCTTAACTGTTTTCCATAAGCGTCAATATTCTTCACTTTAAGTTTTAGATATCCAAGAAAGTAGATAAAACAATCTTTGGTCGAGTTACAAAAATCAATTTTTGTGAGTTTTTGACAGTAATTTTAACAAAATTCAACGACAGGTTATTGTGTTAATTCTTATGGGGGCATTGCAATTGTAGATTTATTTTCACTCTTCTCTATTAGTTTCAATTGAGTTTCAATGAAATAGTCGTTTTGCTCAAGCTGCCAAAATTCCATAAAAGATTCCATAACCGCCTGTCATTTCATGCATCTCTCGCATCTTCAATTCAAATTACGTTTTAATGACGGTCAAATTCGCTCCAGTAAGCACGACTCGTCCAAACTGCCATCAAAATTTAATTCTCGAGCAGTAATGCACAAACACAAGCAAAATATATAATTTGGGGGCGAAATTGTCGCCTCGTGCGTGATAGATTCACAACAAAGATTAGAAACAGGGTGCTTACAACACACAACACAAAATTCCAAAAAGCTATTGACATATTAAGAACAATTCTCGCTAGAATTTTATGTAAATTGCGACCGGAAGCAAACATTTGAATGAAAATGGAGGCGAGCCACGTTGGCTGGTTTTATTAAAGTTTGAAGAAAGAAGAAAATGACCGAGAAGGGGATGACGCTGCATTGATTTCTAGTTTATGAGTCTTAAAACGTTCATTGCTGAAACACAATGACCTCAATGGAGCTAAGCTTCTTCATAAATAAATCATTTCGGAATAAAAAGCTTATTTCAATTAAAAGTTTCATTATGATATGCGCACTTAATTTAACTTTGTTCAGAATCCGCAATATAAAAGTTTGTTAATACCACCTGAACTTTTTCCACACATCTAAATCGTTTCGATGAAATTTCCCGTCTCGAGAGGCTTTTAATTCGAGTTCAGTAAACAGAAAACACGATTATTTATAATCCCGACAGCGAAAAGAACATCTTTTGGACGAATTTACGAAAATACTAACGATCGCAGAATAATTACATCCGGCAAGGCTGAATTTGAAACATGTGCAAACACGCACACTTAAACATCACGTAAGCTTAGGAAACGTGCATTTTATAATAATTTTACCTAAAAATTGAAGTTTCGATCAATTTTCACTTTCTTTTTAATGGTAACGATTAGGACATTGCCCCACCATAGAAATTAGTAACGACTAACTATAAATTTTTGAGTTTTTTTGAGAAAACCAGGTCCCTCGTGTAATCTAACCGTTTTCCATAAACGCCAACTTTTTTCACGTCCCTTGATGGAATATTTAAAGCTGTCGGAAAGTTTTATGGAAAAATCGCCAATTCGAACACGAACTTGTGCCTCCATTGTTTCGCGTCATAAATTAAAGCGTGGAAACATGAAAAATCCGACTCAAATATTTCGTTTAACTCCATTTTCAAAAGCTCTCGAGTTCAATCCAGTCGCGCTTTGTAATTAGCAAACGTGGCTCAGCTGTTTGGAAAAACTCGCTTTGAATTAATTAGGTCGATATTTTACAGCGATAAAAATATATTTACGACACGAATGCCTAAAAATAATCAAGTAACGGCGGCGAATTCTCATTATGAATACTAATTATTTGTCGAGGATTGTAGAGTCTAGAAGTGAAAAATCACAAATCGCATGATGAACTAATTCCCGGTTTTATTAATCGAAAACCGGCCTTCCGGCGCACTTGACAAGACGTGTCTGTGTCAGTAGGGGGGGTTGTCGACTCCGGGTCGATATTCCGGAGCTTGCCAAAAGCCGGAGCAACATTTTTCAACAATTTGAAGGTCCAAAAATACAATTTCCAGCGCTGAATTGAAAAAATCCCTCCGGGATCGGCCTACACGCCTATTTAATTTTGAAACAACGCAAATTCTTTGTTAAGTTAATCTCAAGAGCAAAATATTGACTTTTTGAAATGCGAATTCAGTTGCAAAACAATAAAATAATCGATAATGCAAAGTTGTTGTAACCCATGTCATGCAATTCTTATCGCAGTTGTAATTTACTTGTAATTGGGGTGCAATTATATGTTTTTTTGAATTTCAAGCCCAGCAACAAGTTTTTGGCTTAGACCCAACGAGATGCATTGAGATTATTGCCATTTGAAATAAATAAATGTTGGCACAAAATATAAAATGTTGGAAAAGAAAAAGTTTATAAATCAGTTAAGAAACTGTTAAAAACATTTAATTATTGTTTTGAGTAGAAGCTTTACTGTTTAATTTTGTCGATAGCTAACATTGGCAGTTAGTAAAAATAGTTAAAACTTCAAATGGCTTAAATGCAACGCTTGAAAAAGCTAGATAGTTAAAACTGAATTAAAAAAACTAAAAAATTCTACAGTTGACAGCTTTTCTCGATCGGTAGCCATCTAAAAATTAACTAAATTGTAAGATTAATAACAATTTTATCTTCCTCGATAATTTGATTTTTTAACGCCATAAGCATTAGTAACAACTAACTATTAATAACAATAGTTACGCAGTTAAAAAGTAACAAAATTTCAAGATTAACAACAATTTTATATTAAAATTAAAGTTTTGTCAATCTATCTTTGATTTTCTAACGTAAAAAGGGTAAATATTGTGACATTGCCTCACCGTGGTAACAATTAGTAACAACTAGCTATTAACGACAATATTTAGGCAGTTAAAAATTAACTAAATCTGAAGATTAACAACAATTTTATCTAAAAATTAAAGTTTTGTCGATCAATTTTTGATTTTTTAACGTAAAGGTGGTAAACATTGTGACATTGACCCGCCATAAGCATAAGTTACAACTAACTATTAACA